CTCCCTGCGGGGCTCGCGTGGCCCTGGGTGATGCCATTCCTGCCGGGAAGCCCGGCCGGGAAGCACCCCTCTGCCCAGCATCTGGGGACCCTCTGCCCACCAGTGCTCTTCTCCCCCTGCAGCTCTGACGCTACTGCAGCAGGTGACCTGACCAGCAAACCAGGAGAAGATAGTGGGCTAGACTAAAAGGAAAGCAGCTGCTTTTCTGAAGTGGTCAGATGAAAGCTGTTGATGAGTGTTAACATTTTTTTTCCCATCCATTTCCGCGGCAGTCGCTGTGCGAAGCCAAGCAGCGCCAGCAGGTCCGCGGTGGCAGAGGGGGTGAGGCAGGGTCCCCGCCACGGAAGCAGGAGCGCTCCGCTGTGGAGTTCTGAGCTGCTTGTGCAGCGAGACACCGATAGCTTTTTGCCTTGGTTTACAACCCAATTTCCATCCTTCGTTGCTTGCCTTCTGGAGCACTCAGTGCCCTGAAGAACACCCAGGAGTGGAGAGGATTTGCACTGCTCAGCAGACTCCACCAGTGTCTTTGCTTTAACTGCTATAAAGCTCTGGGTTGTGGGGTGGTTTTTGTTTTGTTTTGGGTTGGTTTTTTTTTTTTTTTTAGAAAAAAATATTTTATTTTTAAACACAGCAGAGTGTTACCAGGCTGTCATCTTGGCACATACTCTCTGGGCAGCCCTGTGAAGTTTTTTCCCTTCAGGGCTTCATCCACTGTCAGGATGTATTTGTTGATTAGATCTTTCATTTCCTGGGTGAATGGCTCAAAATCCTTTTGCTTAGCACCAGACCGCTTGAAATTCCCGTCCCTGTTGTTCTCCACGCAGAGTAGTCGGTCCTCTGTCACCGTCATGTTCAGGAACTCCACCATCTCCTTCAGCTTGGGGAGGAGGCTCTGCTTCAGGTCCTCATAGTGGATGACGAGCAGGCGCTTCCCGTACTTCAGCCAGTCCAGCACATGGGATGCCCACCATGAGGCGTAGCTGTTCACAAAATCCGGCCACTCTGCAGGGCGAAAAAACAGGGAAAGGAGACAACGTTTTCCTACCCTTTTACCTCCGTTTCAAATGTAGACAGAGAAAGAAACAGGTTTATTTTTAGATATCTATGTAAACAATCACTATATAATTATATAGCAATATCTTAACTTTTTATTATGTAAAGGCAGCATCCAGATACTGATCTCAGCTGGGGCCCAAGGTGTTCCTGACTTCCAAATCTGTTGAATAACACATCTTCTGCATGCCTACCAGCCTGCCTATGGGGAGACTGGGTAAGGAATAAGATTAATAGGGAAGACTCTTCTGTTCCTAGCACATGGGAGGGATCTAAGGTCACCTGCCAGCGTGGCTGGAACAAAATTTACTGAATTATTTTCCCATCTTGCCTTGGACATTAATGACACCTCAATCTCTATGTGCTGTCTGTGATAATTTAATTTTCTGAGGGTCAAGATAGTCCTAAAGCTTTTGGGCTGAACTGTAACAACTTGTAGTTGGCAGTACAGGAAAGCCATTCCCTCCGGACTTTTTCTCTTTCTAAGGGCTATTTTGCCTATTTTTTAAATGAAAGGTGATACATGAACTTGGGAAAGAAATGTGCTGTGACAGAGGACATTTCCCCACAGCCCTGTACTGTGTGGTTTGCCAAGCCACGGCTGTAGCGAGGAGAAATGCAAACGGAATCGGTTCTCTGCTGCAGAGTCTGAAGGCAGCAATGGGTTTGGTGGGGAAATTGTACCCACGCCGTCCAGCCTGCCAGCCCAATGCATGAAGCGTGGCGGGCATCCTCTGAAGTCTCTTTGTGTGTTCAAGAACACTGAATGTCAAGTCCTCTTATTGCTGTTATCCTTATTTATCTGCAGTGCAGCAGCACCTGTGCAGCCCTGTAAAATTCCCTTCAGGAAATGTCATGCTCTATTGAATCCTCCAAACTTTAAATTAGATTTCTCACAGTTATTACACGCTGCAGGGGCAAATTGTCTTCACCTCGCACAGCCTGGCAAACGGGCTGTACATGGGGCGTTGTGCCTGGACGTTTTTTCCCAACAGCACCATGGCAGCAGTGTTGCTGCACGCCTGCGGCTGCAGTGTTGGTGCTGCGCAACCCTCCTCTCTGGGGCGGTGGATGTACGGCAAGACCACAGCCGCTCCCAAAGCGCAGCTCTGAGTGCTTTTGGGACTGACGCTGGCTGCGGTGGGACTCAAGTCCCACTGAATCTGCAGTGCTCGCTCAGGTCCCAGTGCTTTTCCCCCTTCCCAGCATGCCGAGAAGATGGGTTTCAAACTCTGTCCCAAAGGGCAGCGGGCACCCCCAGCCCCTGCCAGCGCGTTACCTTTGCTCTTCCAGTTGCGGTCGGTGGCGTAGCCCAGGTGCCCGGCATATTTCCTGTTGAACTCCGCCATCAGTGACTTGTAGGGGTTCCTTATCAACAGGATCGCCGAGTCGAACATTTCTATCTCCGTCTTGCCACTTTCATGGGTCTTCACACAGATGGTCCTTCTGCTTCTCCAGTGGTCTTTTTCTCCTTTAAAACCTGTTTTGTGAGACAGGATGGTTGGGTTTTTCTCTTGATGGTATGTGCCTTTTCACACTCTAGATCATTCCATGCAGTGGTGTAAACTGGTGAGAGTACCACCCAACTAAACCCACCATCCCCCGGACCTGGGACCAGGGCTTGGTCTGCCACTGACCTGTGAGGCTTGTTGACTTTGCTTTCCTCCTCTGGGGAGGACTCTGTGGGCACCTTGGGGCAAAAGAGCTGTTTTCCACAGGGTCAGTGCACGGCACTTGCCGAATAGCGTGCTCCCTCAGCATGCTGTCCTCCCAGAACAACGAGTAACATTAAAAAATTCAACCCTCCTGTTCCCTGTGCTACGGAGGGGTCTCATCCTCAGAGTTTAGTCAACTCTTTCCAGTCAGCTGCTCTTTTGGACCAGTCTTCCAGCTGGGAGCAGGCGCACGGATGCTGGCAGCATGCAGATTTTGCAGATGGGGACCCTGGCTGTTGTCTGTGACAGGAGCTGCCTGTCAGGCTCCGTGTGCTGCTGGAGCAGTCCCTGCTGCTGTCTGCGCCACGTCAGACTGCTCGTTCCAGGCACGTGTTTAAATTTTACCCGATGTGCTGACAGGGACAGCCTTTGCTGGCTCGAAGCAGAAGGGTGCCAGAGCGAGTGGATCAGGCTGTGTGCCTCGGAAGGGCTTTGTGCGTCCGTCCCTCTGGACACGTACCTTTGTTGTAGAGGGCTCCATCAAAGTAATAGCTTCCCGTGTAGTATCCCGTGGCGTGCTCTATCAAATGGCGAGCCCACGTATTCCCAGCCCCAGGAAAGCTCGACAAAGCGACGAACACGTTGGATTTGGTGGTTAAGAATTTCCTGTCTGTGCAGCGGGTGTCTGCGAGTACAGAAGATATTTCATTGTTAGCATTGTGGCTTTTTAATAATTCCACCGACAGCTCTTGATTACAGGGTTTATTGCTGCTTTCTTCTCTCTCTTACAAATATAGGATATCAATTTGAGTCCAGTTGTAAGTCAGCTACTTCCCAAAATTAATTTGGCCATAAGAGGCCAAAGAGATTATCCTCAGAAGAGGTTTTTGCTGGTTTTGCATCAGGCAATGCTTTTTCCATAGAGCTGCGGCAAACCATTGTGCTTGCCAGCAAGTTGTGATAAAAGCCCCTCGATGCCTGTTTGTTAATGGTATTTGCCTGGTAGGTTGGCTTTTCAATGAAAACCCCAATGTCCCACTACACCTGGAAACGGTGGGTTTTGTAACGCAGGAGAACCCCCTCCTGCTGGAGGGAGCTGGCGTGCAGCTGTCCCTCTCCGAAGGGCCCGAGGCAGCGAGGAGCCCCCACTGCGTTAATCTCCATGGGGGCCAGACACCCGTTCTCCGTACGGGCTTTTGTAAATCCTAACCTTACTTCTTAACATGGCAATAAAAGCAAGGATAGGATGAGAACCAATCCTGACCCTCTGTGATGATTCTATGATTTTATATTAAAAAAGAATTCAGGAAGTAAATTAGAAATTATAAACTTCCTTTTTCAAAGCAGCACAGTGCAGAGGAGGCTGTCTCCTGCCACTACTGAGCTGCACAGACGGGGGAAGCACCAGCAATTTCAGGAAAGCAAACATTCTTTTTCACATGCTGCTGTCTGCAATCTACCTCTGAACTGGGAGATGGAGGGGAAAAAAATGGTGTCGGTGAAAAAAAAAAGCCCAACACCAATCACAAAAAGCACTTAATTTGTTTAATTTTAAGCTTGTGGAAAGTTGCACTGAACTTGGTGCAAATAACTGTGTGGATAAAGCTGCCAGTACCACCTAAGTGGTCTCCTGGATTGCAGCCTGACTCTCTGCTTTATTTTCTGGCTTGGAAACATGTACGCAGATGAATATTTTAGAGGAAGACGTGGGTAGAGCAAAATTAGGGTTGTCTGAGCTGCCTCAGTGACTGCGTAACGTGGGGGCTGGGTGTGCGTTTAACGAGCATGGGTTCCTTGTCCCCAGCTGCGTGGCTCAGCCTTCCCAGGCTCTGCCTTGTTCTCTGCATCTGCAAAATAATTGTATTTTTCCAGGGTGGGAAGAGGCTGTTCTGCTTGATGAGAGCATGGAAACATGCTTATTTCCAAGCGTGATTGCAAGAGGGGGATTTAATAAGGGCTGTTTCATTATTAATTCCTGCCTGTGATACCAACCCATGTGGCCAAGGCTGCCGTCAGCCAGATTGCTTTTACCCACGGCACCCCTTCTGCGCTGGGTGTTTCCAGCAGTGGTGGCTCTGGCCCTGGCACGCCGAGGCTGGAGCTCATACCTTGCACCGGTGTCTGGTAGACCAGGCAGTATTTTCCTTCGGTGGCGTTGTGCATCCCGCTGCAGAGCAGCCCGTCTGCGCCGTCGTGCAGCGAGAACTGCCTGGTGGGGTAGCCGCAGTGGCACTCCCGCCCTCGGATGACTGCCAGGGGAAACTCCTACGAAAGAGAGAGAACAGATCTGTACGTAAATGCCACAGCAGCAAGAGCCTGCGGGGAATACGGCTGCTACACAAAGAAAAATAAATCTTCACAAGGCCATTGTCAAGATCAAAGCAGTGTTTGATATATCATTGTAAAGCTCGTGCTTCTTATGCTACTACTGTCTTTCACATGGCAACTTCTTAAAAAGTGGTTTTCAGACACAAACCTCGTAAATCTTCATAATTCACAATATTCTGGGTTTTTTTTACGTTATTCCTAAACAATAATTTTATAATATTCCTTGCAGCACCTAGTATGTAATTCCATCTGCAAAACATTGGTGTGGGAAAAGTTGTTCTTATTTACCCCCAAAATGACCGTTTTCAATTGGATCATCTTCTAAACTTCTATTTATATTGCCCCAAGCTGAGGAGCCAGCTGTTAAAAGCTTTGCTTCATTCAGTTGATTTTACCAGAGTTTGTGCAGAGGAAACCTGCCCTTAAACGGAAAGAATTAAAGGGAAAAAGGGAATTTAGAGCCGCTAAGCTGCAATCGTGTTTAAAAATAGAAAAAAGTCAAGCCTTAAAAACAGTATGCATGTCAGCATGACTTCTTCTCAGTTTGCAAAAAATGAATGTGCACAGAGGGGCTGATATAGGGCTTGAGAGCTAACGTGTGTATTTTTGGGAAAACTGTTTAGAATTAGGATACCAGGTAATTTTTGGCACATCTGTTCAGAGGGACTGTGCTGATGGTGAACGTGGGGCTGTGCCACGAAAGGCAGAGGGGACCTGCGGTGCCTGAGCGCAGCTGGGGCCGTGTCTGGGGCTGGAGCGAGCTAAGGGCGCGCGCGGCTCTGCCTGCCGGTGCACGCGGGGCTGGCTTAGCTGGCGCCTGGGCTCTGTTTTCAGGCACGGACACTTCTTGCTTTCTGTTACCTTGCTTCTAGATGGGGAAACCTTGTATGAAATCCAGCCCAGCTGCTGCAAATGACGGGTATCTCAGCAGAGTGGAACATGTGCAACTACAAGAAGGTTATAGGTAGTGTTCATTCCAGGAAATAATTCCCAAGGAAAATTTGTGTCTGTAAGAAATGTCTTTTCAGGGGATGTGGTGAAAAGTAATTGAGGTTTTGGTGTACCAGTCTTTCTCAGAACAGGCAGCAGGCTGCACAGCAGCGTTGCTGTGTGGTGGCAGAGCAGTGAGGCTGGGCTGCGGTGTGTAACCGATGAGAACTGGGGGATAATCGAGGGAAATGGGTGCCAATTATTTGCTGGAGAAATTAGCAGGTGCTTAGGTGCTCAGGAGAAAAAGCACCCTTACTACTTTGCTGAAACTGGCCCTTAAATTCAGTCTTTCGCCTCTTTACTGGACTGGGGTCTTTTTCCTTGGGTTTCCAAAGTCCCCTGAGGGCTCGCCCAGCGCCCGGGGGTGCACGGCGTGCAGGGTGGGCTGGGTGCAGTTCCACCTACTCCAATCGCACCTGCTCCATATCAACACTTTTTGCCTTTTAAAAGTCTTTTGGAGCCTGGGAGCACGTGACAGGACTGCTGAGCAGCTTATCTCTCGCTCTTCCCCCCGTGCTATCCTCTGATAAGGAGTCAATACACCCCGTGTGCCACCTGTGCCCAAACAGCCAACGTTTGCTTAGCGAATGAGATACGACGTTGTCAAAAACTATTTACAGGTTTGATCCAAGGGCAAAACAGTTCTGTTTCTACCTGCAAACAGAAATTTTTTCTTTGCGACAAAGCGGTGTTTCTCAGTTTGAGAAATTATGAAGTGTCCTGGCCCTCGAACACAGCCTAGAATGAAAACACACCCTGTGCCTCGTGCCAAGTGGCACCTGCAAGGGGCTGACCTTCCCGGAAGGCTGGAGGTTTACGGGAAGGGACCTCAGCAAATGCTTCTCCACCCTTCCGTGTCTGCAGCCGCGCTGGTCAGCACGGCGCTGGTCTGCAGCCGCTCTGCGTGCAGCGCGGGATAAGGGGGGACCAGGGAGCTCGGCCTCCAGGTGCTTGGAGGAAGGGGAGGAACAGGGAGCGGGCATCACAAGTGAGAGTTTCAAAGTTTCAGGGATGGCAGCACGCCTCTTGAAGGCAGCACGACAGCCATTCTGGGAATCGCAGCAGGATCCACAGCGTCGGTGCAAAGCGCTGCAATCAGCCAGCTGATTATTCGGACTGTGCATCTCCCGGCTGCAGTGCACAAAGTGATTGCAAAGTGATGTATTCAATCCTGACTCCCCATCAGTGTTTAATCAAAACCATCAGCCATCCTCTTTGCTCACCTGTGTATGTATGCATGCCCCAAGCTGCGGGTATGGCTCTAAGCAACCATGTAACTCCTAAGTGCAGGACTAGTCCTCAAGCTCAGCACGCACAGATCTGGGATGCTTTGCTTCAGTAAAACACAAGTGTATCGCCAGAGAAACCTGCGGATCTGTGAATAAGCATTTTTCTGGATTGAGCTTTAAAGGCTCAGGTGTTCATCCTGCGAGCTGTAACTCCTGGGAGGTGACGTCAATAGAACTGTTTACAGTGACGTTACTCACACGTGGGTGAACTGACACAGGAGGATCAAGATTATTTTTTTTTCCACCATTAAACAATAAATTAATGGCAGAGGTTGGAAAGCATTGCTCGTGACGTCCTGCTTGCTGAATGCTTATACGCACAGAGGATGTGAGAGGAGGTTTGTGTGCGTGTTGGGAGGGTGCTGTACACAGGGTGTGTGGGTGATTCACTGCAATTCACTGCGTGAAGTTAATTCCATGATGCATTAAAACACTGATGAGCTGGTGTAGACGATGTGTTGACTAGGGAAAGCTTTCCCGCTCTACCTAGTAATTAAGAAGATTTGTTGTTCATGCCTTAATAGTTTTAATCAATTTTGTGATGCTAGAAGACAAAGTAATTGAATGTTCAGTTTCGTGCATGAGGCTGAATGTGGCTGCAGGCAAAATCTGACCACAGAGTGAACCCTCCTCTCCACAAAAAAATGAGGGGAGGAAGGGAAGGGAACCAAGGGCAGTAACAGCCTCTAAAGCAGAGGGTGCCCTGGGCCAAACACTCCCTCCCATGAGGATTCCCACGTCCACTGAAGTCAGACTCCTTCAGTTCTTAAATCCATGGTCTTACTCTGAGAAGCGTGGAGGATGAACGAAGGCGATGCTTCAGGCCAGGAGCATGCACAAGGACAGAGGATGTTAGCATGTCCTTTCTCGCCTTCAGCACAGAACTGACCTATTGGTTGCTTTCTTGTGTTCTTATACATTGGCATGAAGTCCTACAATTATTCCATTTTAAATTAAATTATATTTAAATTACATAGGTTATAGTGAAAGTGGTATCAATTATTGTGGTGTAGAAAGAGACACATTTGTGTAAAAGTACCTGGAAAGTCCCCCTGCTTTCAGTGTGCTTATCTGCTGAAATTTTTCTCTGGCAGCTTTTTCTTATATTTAAGATTGTGTCATGTTCCTAGCCAACACAGTTACACACTGGTGTAAAAACTGTGTGTAGCTACCTCAGCATTAAATCCTCATGTTGGCTATGGCAGCGCCCGCTGCTGCTCTGTCAAGGAGCCCAGGACCAAGAGGACCAGGCTGGCGGGGAGCAGACGGGGCTGCACAGCGTGGGGGGTGCTGGGGATCGCTCCTCCCTGTCCATGAACCACACACAGATCCCCAGAGTCAAGTGGGGACCAGCTCCTGGGAGGGCACTGAGCCACGGTTCAGGTGCTGCCAGCCCACGTCCACCCTCTGGCTGCGTGTCTCCCCATAAACCACAGAGTCCTCCCCCGGGGCCAGGTCTGGCTCTGGGCTTGGTTTGAAGGGGACACAGAAATGGTATTGATTTGCTCATGGTTGATACTCATCACCTAGCACGGCTTTTCTGCACATCATATTTAGTGGCATCACTGATGGTTTTCCCTCCCACCTTCCCCACTCGAGAGAGCGGCTGGACCAGATGCATCACTGGGTATTTACTCTGATGGGTTTTGTCCTTTAGAAACTAATTTACAAATGCAAAGCTCTGAGGTACTAATCTCTGCTCTTCCCTCAGTAGATTAAAATTAAAAATAAACATAAAGAAGAAAGGATGTGAAATGAGAACTGTTCTTACTTTCTTGGAGCAAAATTCAGAGCACATCTCCACCGTCAAATTGGGCTGTATCAAAGAGGCTGGAAAGGTGTCTGTTAAATTTTCTGGAGCTCTAAAACATCCTCGATAGATAACATTCCTCCCTGCAGGGATATGAAATAGGTTTCTCTTGAGAAAACAATGTCCATAGTATCCTGCCTCTTTCACAAAGAAAAATATTAGGTTCAGAAGCTAAAAATAATAAAATAAATATTATATTCCAAATGCTGTAGAAATAAGAGAAACCACGATATATGCTAGAAAAATGTGTTGCAAATCCTGTGGCATTGAAAGGAGCACATGCCTTTGGCTGTGTGCTAACTGCTGAAAGTAGGGCTGCAGCAGAGTTTAAATTAAATTCCACCAGTGGAGGGCATTGCTATTGTTTGCAAGTCCCAGATTTCTTTTGAAGACATCCTTTCCCCTGAAAGACTTAAAAGCCCCGATAAAAATCTACAAAGCTTCCCATGATCTGCAGCAGAAAAGGAAGGGAATTTAAATGAATCCTGAAAGCCCCCGCAGGGACCCACCCTCCTGCACATCTGCTCAGTTGCTGAGCTGTTCCTCTCCTCTGCCCACTCGCTTTCTCTTCAGGGCAAGGGAGTTTGCTGCAGCCTTTGAAAGCTAAGCTGGGCTTTTGTAAGCTGTTCAGGGAGAACAGCTCGCTTCAAGTCTTCAGCATCAGCCTCTGATCTCACCTGCTCCTGTATCAGTGCCACGGAGTTGGGCAGCATTGCTCCATTTTTTTGCTGATATCACTGTGACCAAAGTCAGTATTTGGCCCAAACACTTGTTCCAAGCAGCAATACAGGTTTCCCTCCCGCTTAGGTGAGGAATGTCCAACCAAAGGAAACCCAAAGCTCTCCCGGAAACTCCCTGCCCCAGGTGAGGCAATGTGTTTGAGGACTGAAGATAAGGAAGATTGAAGGTAATGAAGAAAATAACATTGTGTGGCTGATTAGAAGAAGAAAAAAGTTTGCATGTGAAACAAACTCACTGGCACTGATGTGGGAAATGTGCTGGCTGACAGGAGAGATGCAGTGCAGTTTTGAAGGAAAAATCTGGTTCTGCGTGACTTTCCTGGCAGAAGGGCCCGGGTTCTCCAGCAGGAGCCAAGAGCAGTCTAAGGAGAAGCTGCTTAAATATTGTTCTAATAACTGTTCAGACCACTTACAAGAAGCTATACCTTTGGGATCACTTGAGAGACATCTAAATAAAATAACCTGATGCAAGTTGAGGGGAAAGACAAGTCTCCCTGGGAACGGATCACTGCAAGCAGAGCACCAAAGAGTAAAGGAACAGAAGGTTTTTGGCTTCTCAGGATGCTCTTGAAAGACTTTCTAGTCAATCTCACACTAATGTTTAATTATTGAAACACAATGGATTTGAACATGTTTAGAGGTGTCTTGGTGGGTCAGGAAGAAGGTTTGGACTGCCCACACCGGCACTCAGGAGGGAGCAGGGTTTTCGGAGAACCCGCAGATCCCTCTGGAAACGGGCTGTGTTTATGTCGTGCCTGCTCTCGGGGGAACGATGGCTGAACCCTGCCCCGAGGAAAACGGCACTGCGTGCCACGGTGATCCCTGGGCTGCGGACTCTGAGCTTCACTGCATTTAACGTGACACAGCGGCACCGGTCCTGCGGCGCGGGAGCTGCGTGGCTCGTGGTGCCCAGGGACCCCGGTGGGAAGGGGGAGGCGAGGGATGGAGGGGGGAGCCAGCAAACCCCGCGGCGGGGAAGGCTGAAATGGAGATGCTGCTGTATCTGCTCTGAGTAAGGAGAAGCCTTCTGCGCGGTCTGTTTTCTCTATCGCGTAGCGTAAATCATAGATGCCGTTACAGTTTCAGAGTTACTTTCCAATGTACTTGTTCATCGTGATTAATACTTCTGTTGCCCCTCAGCTGGCTTGTGTCAGTGGGATTATTCAAACAGTCAAACACCAGGTATTACTAAGGGCAAACAAAATACAAATCTAGCTCCAGGCTAGACTAATTTGATGACTAATTCATTAATACTTGAGAAAAAACAAATGCCGCCTTCTCCTGTGAAATATGTAGAGATATATTTTATGCTGAAGATTTAAACAGTGATGCATGCCCAGGAAACCTGCCAATGTGCCTGTCAGTGTGACACTAGCAATTTAGGTCTGTGTACCTTTGATATATAATTTATACGTAGCTGGGTGGATTATTGTACAAACCTTGACTTGTCTTTAAGAAGAAATGAAGTACCGTCAATACTGGCACAGCCTAAGGTCTTGGTGCTTCTTCTCAGCAAATAACATCCGTTAAGGTCTTCTGAGCTTGCCAAAAAGTAAAGACTGCTGAGCTGTTTAGATATTTTATGTGCTTTGTGTTGGCCCGAAGGTTTATCTATCGTATCTCCTGTGGTAGCTAACTGAATGACAAGCAGGGTAGGTGTTGTCACCTGAAGATGAAACAAAAATCCCAACTGCCTCTAGAACAGAAGTCCTTGGAAGAGCAAAACTGTGGTCTCATTTCTCTCACGTAGGGGAGAGATTGGTGTCCCTCTCTGGCCCCTGCTTACTCTCCTGCTGCACTCACAGAGCAGTGATTTTGCTCAGGACCGTCTCTGAGCGCAGGCTGGCACTGACTCGAGGGTTTTCCTTCCCTTCCCCTGTAAGCACCGACCTCTGGGGTTGTTTCGTAAACACCCGTGGGTTTGTCCCTCTGCAGTGGATGTGAAAGGGAGGGGTTTTTCCTCAGCTGCAATTCTGCTGCTGTTGCAGTTGCTCTGCCCTGTATTGCGTTTCTTCCCCAGCGACACTGACTCTGTGGGAGCCCCAGGGCAGCCGTGCCAGCCCTCGCCCCCAGCGCTGCTATTCTGGGGAGGGAAATA